AGCTTTAAACAAAGTATACATATAAATAAAATAACCATTTGATTCTTTGAAACTTAATAGTTTCTAATGAAAATTAATCAGGTGCTCATTCAAAATGGGTCTACATGTGACCTCTGACAATTACTTGTGATGTTAAACTGATATAACAGAGTATGGATAATTCACAGCCTCAGGGTTATTTATTTTACTTGACACTATTTTAAACTAATATTGTTCTTTTAAAAAAAAGTTATTCAGATTAAAACGAGCAAAAACAGTGCTGTGAATGTGCACGGCCTGGTAAGGAGATTCTGCAAAATAATCATTCTAAAAATATAGATAATTCTGCGATTGGTGCAATTTTTACAGTTATCTGCCAGTAATATATAATTACATTAAAGCAATGTTACGTTATAATATAATTGTGTTCATGTGACTCTTCACACCAGGCATTTAATAATGTTTACATGAAATTAAGACAGATTCTGCTCATGAATAACAGACTGGGTTATATGGGTTATTCACCATATGGCCTTTTACGGTAACTTGAATATTTCTTCTTTTGTTTGTTTTTTTGAGTACCATTATTCTGTAGTTTTTCAGTTAATCAAACAAAACCGCATTTGATTAAAGCCTTAAATAATTGTTTGAAATGGTAACAGATGTATAGTATTTCCTTGCTGCTATGTCTTTGTAGCATGTTAACTACTGTATTACCAGTGCTCATGCAAACTGTCTTTCCCGTCCACAGCTGGTTCTGGTAGGAGATGGAGGTACAGGGAAAACCACCTTTGTGAAGAGACACTTGACTGGGGAGTTTGAAAAGAAATATGTTGGTAAGTCTCTTGCTTTGTATGAAAAGCCCATTTCATTCACATGGCATCTTGACGCAACTATTCTGGAGGAATGTGTGGCTTTGGTGCGAATGTCACAGTTATGGGCGGCTTTTGTATTTCTCTGTGTGTCCTCTTAGCCACGCTTGGAGTTGAGGTGCATCCCCTGGTTTTCCACACCAACAGAGGAGCCATCAAATATAATGTATGGGACACAGCCGGACAAGAGAAGTTCGGAGGCCTGAGAGATGGATATTACATCCAGGGTATGCAGTGTTTTATCATATATTCACACTGTAGACATTCTGTCCAGCAGTGGTTTAACATGTGCGTCTCTGTCTCTTTATAGCTCAGTGTGCAATCATCATGTTTGATGTAACTTCGCGAGTGACCTATAAAAATGTGCCCAACTGGCATCGTGACTTGGTG